CGTCAATCAAAACCCAGGGGATTCGGATCCGGTTTTTGAACAGAACGCTGGGTCAAAAGAATGGCAACAGAATCAAACCCTAGAATATCCTGAGTCCCCAAACCTGCAAAAAAAATCTGAGGTTTTTGCCTAAAATGGCTACCTTCTTCCCGCCAATCCACTCAAGACGCGCGGCGTTCCGGACTTCCCCTCGCGTCGCGTAGGAGATCCCCAGCGACGTGAAGCACCCGCGGCCGGCGTGGCTCCCCTCGGACCTCACGAAGCTGGCCCCGTCCACACGCACAAACGGAGCCTTGGCTGGTCTTTGCAGTTTTTGTTTTGTTTTTTGGTTTCTTTGCAGTTTCTTCCTTCTTGCAGGTTTTTGCAGGTGTTTGTTTTATTTATTTATGTTTCTTGTTGTATAGCTGAATGCAGGACAATTGCATTTGTTACTTGCTTACCTACTTTTTACTTGTTTACTTGTTTACTTGGTTTTATAGTTTCTGAATTTTAAAACAGTTCTGGGGTAGACTTAGGATACATTTTACGTAGTAGCTGTGACTCAAAGTGACGCAACTGATAAAATATGCATTCTATATCTGGTCCCAACTCTACTCATGAATTGGTTTTTACTTGTTCAATGTGCTGTGATGTTTTTCAGTTTCTTGGTTCTGTTCATGGTGGGCAGGAGCAGATACTTTCGCCCAAAGGCTGACAAACTGTTTGTTAAGCGGCACTGTCAAATGGCCATGGAGCCGTTTGACCAAAATCCATTGGGGGGGGGGGGGGGTGCTGGTAGTTTTGTATTTTGTTGGTTCTATTCATTGTGAGTTATTTGTGTCTGCAAAAATGCATTGTTTTGCTACTTGCATGTTTGGCCAAGTTTCTAAGTTTATTTCTAAGTGGTTTGCCGCCTGAACGGGGGACTGATTATCGGGTTGTAAGCTAGGTCACCAACATCTCAATGGGATCTCCGGATGAAATCCCCTGGTTTATTTTCATGCGGGGTTGGGTCCCGTTTGAGTGGTTGAATCCGGATCACTTTTGCGGGTGACCCCCGTTATGAGTAGGATGTTTTCTTTGTTTTTTTTTGGGGGGGGTCACCAACAACTGACCATCTTGGTGGAAGATTCAACCTGGAGTCTCCATGGCCCTTTAACAATGCGTCAATGACCCCATTATTTTGGGTAATGACAGTGCGATACTGTAAAGGCCACCTAGGTTGTAACCCACCAATACCATGGTGAACTCCACTTCGGGACTTCAGCCGGTTATAACCTATAGGTTACTAACGACTGACTATCTTCTAGATAGCGGCTTGGATGTAGCTTTTGTGGATTCACCCCTGTATAATTTCAAAAGAGTACTAAAAAAGGGAGTACTGAAAAAAGGAGCAACCGGGGGAAAACCTGGTGACATCCACAAAAAAAGCGCATCCAAACCCGTCTTTTAGATATCTTGGTCGACCCAAGCACCATGGGAAGGAGTTGAGAAGCAGAAGCAGCAGTGCTGCCTCTTCCCTTTCTTACAGCTGGACTAGTGAAATCGCGGTGACCGAAGCCCGGAGAAGACCAAGCAGGAAAAGTAAGGGAAGAAATACCTCGGGGTCGCTTCCAAACCTATTATGCAGATATATATATATATGTTATGTATACGGGTGTGTGATTTTTTGAGGGTACCCCTCTTGGAGTGCTTTTAAATGAGCCACGGGGAAACTTTGGGTTTGGGCCCAGTTTGGTGCTTTTCGTTTGAAGTTTGGTTGCTTCTTCCGACCAATCCACTCAAGTGAGCATAGTCGAGGCCCCCCAAACCATACTTGGCCGGTCAGCTGGTCAGTGCGGCCAATGGGGATTTCGGTCAGCCCGGACTTTTCCGCCGGTCTCGCTCTGGCCGTTGCTCTGGGCCGTGGAAGTCTTCGAACATCTCGAGTCGAGTCGAGTCACAGCCCCGAGGGCTCAGAGTTGCCAGGGGCCAACTTCAGGTTGTGTGTTGTTTTACTCACTTCCTGAGTTCAGGGACTTTAATCTTTTTGGGAAGACCATTTTAGTGGGAAATATAAAGTTTGAACTTTTTTTGGGCCATCCACTCAGCCAGCGAGTTTATGAGGGCACCTTTCAGGTAAACCCCTTGGTGGTGGGCCCGGATGGCTTGGATTTGGATCTGCACCCCGAGGAAGCCATCCCGAGCCGATCCACCGGGCTCCAAACCACCAATTATAGCGGGAAGCTGGTCCTCCTGTCAAGGGAATCCCTAGCCAATCCACCGGGCTCCATAAAGCACTGGTTGGTCTTAAGGTGAAACCTTGCTCTTCTTGTTCTCGGCCCTTTGGGACGCCCGTAGATGGAAAGTGCGAGGTCCACCCCTGGCAACTTGTCAGTTTTCTCGGGGCGAGGGCTGCCGGGCCACAAGTGGAACGCTCGAATTTGTTTCGCTCACTGTTTGGAGTCTCGGAACTTGGAGTGGATGGTCACTTTTTGAGTTTGGACAAGGCTTTTGGTTGGCCCACGCGATGGGAAGCGAGTAAGTAGAGTGATGCTGGAGCAAGGGTTGCAAGGGAAAGTCGCGCAATGTTTATGTTCAAATAGACTCAGTGAGTCTGTTTGGTACAGTGTTCTGCATAATTTCTGGCGAGCTCACCTGGAGGTGAAAAGAGGTCACTATGGTAAAGATCCTTTACTTGGGGATCGCTTGTTCAGGTTTGGGGATATGTGTAATATGTTTGCAGACAGCATCCTTCAGGTGAAAGGCGATGAACAACGTCCCCGAGGTTTCCACAGGCTGACTTCTCCAAAAGCAACGGGCAACTTTTTAAAGGGTGCCCCTTTCTGGATAGGTGTTAAAGGGAAAACAGGAAACCAGCTGGTTGCGCCCCCTCATTTGAGAAGCACCCAAACTTGTATTAGATCTGTCTACCTGTAGTGGCTGGAACGTTGTTGTTGTTGCATTGGTATTTGACGGGGGGGGCTCCTAGGACAATCAGACTGCCCAATCTTGGGCCCACGGTTCTTCTTGCTGTCACCAAGGCCTTCTTGCACTTTTGAATTTGGGTGATGCCCAAGTGAATCTCCCAGTTTCGACTAGATGTGTTTGCAAAAAGAACATGTCAACCATCCTTGTTCTTTGTTTGAACATTTGAAGCAGTTAGCTTCCACCACATCTCGTCTTTTCGATCACCAATCGCTCGCCTTGAAGAATTTCCAGAGCCTTTCGAGTCCCAGGTCCCTGACGTATGCTTCAAAGTTTGGTGAACTGAAGACAGCATTTGAACCTCAAGGAAAGTGAGATGTACTAGGTGCTTATTCAATCGCTGTTTGGTTAACGTCAACGATCAAACTACGACTTGGGAGTGAGAAGAAGCCACTTGCGAGTGATCCACAGGCGAGTCGAAACCGACTTCAACTTTCGACCCCGGTCCAAAGCAGAACACGCGAGACGTGGGATCGGATTGAAATGACACGGCGGCATCGCTCTCGACGCGCGCCAAGTGCATGCGAGAAGAAAAGGTTCAGACACGCAGATGGGCAGAGTTTTTGACCTGAGTTTGATTTGAGCAGAGCAAACCTATCATTTAGCCAAAGGGAAACCAAAAGGAGATGCTTTCTGTTAGGACCCCCTATTTTGCACCCATTTTGTGTTTGGTGACCTTCGGATTTCCATGTTTCCTTCCAAGCACATATCCAAAGAAGAGCATCCCGGCCGGGGCAATTGTACAAGGGCGAATTGCACCACTTGTTTAGGTTTCGCGCTGCTCCCACCAGGGCCATCCCCCGAATTATATATGTTTTTTGGGGTAAATTCCTCACGGAGAACCCCTTTTGTGTGCCAACGGAGAATCCCTTTTGTGTGCCACACCCTAAAGATCCTGATGGAATTTGCAACCAGTGGGTTTCACCATGGCCTTTTGAGAATAGTTTCCTTCCATTTGCTTGGTTCCAAAGGCAATCTATCACTACTGCCCTGAGGGTCCTGCCGGAATTGGGGGACTCCTCAGAATATGTCCTTTTGACCCCCCCCCCCTCAAACAACTCGGGGTGTGCGGGGAACGAGAAACCCTGATGGAATACTTCCACGGCATCCCGCGAAACGGATTCCCGTTTTGGAGGTTTCAATCGTGGCGATCGGGTCAACTGGAAAGCCACCACTTCAATGGGCGGTCAATTGGTCAACTTTGGGTTTGGGAAAATCCAGTGAGCTTTGTTTGGGTGAAGGATTGGAATCAGGCTGCTAACCTTTGCTGAAGAATGCCTTTAAATAGGGGTCCCGGACCCCTTGAGTGATTTCCTTTTAGTTGTTCCCTCCAAGAAGAAGGGAACTGAGCCTCAAGAATGGTGGGGCCTCAAACGGACTGAGCAGGAATGCTTGCAGGCGGTAGAATCTGAAATACTGAAGTTTCCAGCAGGAACACCTCGGCCAAATGAGTCCCAAGCTCACTTTAACAGGTAGCCCTCAGTTGGTGCGTTGGATTGGTGGGTCGGGGATTGGACCCCCTGGTTCTTGTAGAGGGTAAATGGGAAACCCCTAAGCACCAAACCACCAGGCTCCAACCCACTCTTTTCAAGGGATGCTGACTCTATTTGAATAACCAGGAACTTGACCCCGTGAGGGAACATGGTTGCCAAACTTATATACACTGATTTGGTGACACCTCCCAGTGTTGAAGAATGATGTGGACGGGGGAAAATGAAGACTTATAGCCAGGCTTGCCTTCCTGGTCTTTGGTGTGACCGCATCACGTCCTGTAGAACGGTTGGAAACACATGGCTTTCCATACAAAAGGTGATCGAGCTCATTCCACCAACGAGGGGGCTTGAAGGAATCGAGCAAGGGTTTCCAATTCGAATCTTTCCACCTGAAGTCTCCATGACCCTTCAAGAATGGTTCAATTATTTTGGATGACCTCATGATTTTGGGTAATGACCCCATTATTTTGGGTAATGACCCCATAAATTTAAGGGTCATGGAGACTCCAGGCAGACCAAACACTCGTTGCTTGGAGCAACCCGGACGGCTCCTTGACTTAGGCCTCCCGGAGTCCGAGGACCGATCGCCGAGTCGGATTTGGACCAGCAAACTCCACCCGGAGTTGGCTGAAGCCAACTTCGTTTTTTTTTTGGAGTCTCCTTCTGACCCTCAAAAAAAGATGGTTGACCCCAACATTTTGGGTCATTGACCCAGTTTTACAGGGTCAGAAGGAGACTCCAGGTACCGGTTTGACTCTGGGGTTCAACCGATTCCCGTCAAAGGAATGGCAACTTGGGACCAACATTGGATGACGAAACTCCTGAACGGTAAAACATGGTGGCGAATTGTATCAGCTACCATTTGTTTTAGCCGTGGTTTGACCCTTGATCTTAGGTTTTGCCCTCTGAATCTACTGTCAGGGTTTGACTCAGGTGTGAACCTATGATTTACAGGTCATTTCCAGGTATGGGTCGATCTATTCTAACGCAGTATATGTTGCGTATGCTCCTCATATAAGTGGTTTTTGGGTTGCCTTAAAATCGAGGAACCCCACAAATGGTGGGTATCCTTTTGGTCCAATCTCCTCCGCACCTCCATACCTCCATTAAAAAAGACACCCAAACACCCTCCATACCTCCAACACCCATGGTCATTCTTCAGACTTGGCTGCGGAGCCGGAGCACGGAGAAGGTCAACGACCAGTCAGTTCATTTTTTTTAGTCCAAAGGAGTTGAAAAGAATTGGCTCAGACATTGGTGCCCAGCTTTCTGTTTTGGCTCGGGTTTCCCTGTGAAATCAACGAGGAACCGGATGCCTGGGAGGTTCTAGTGATTGCTTACTTGTGGCAGCAACTGGATCAGTCTCGTAGAGTATTGTTGCTGGTTGCTTTTCGGATGGAGCACGTGCTTAGATCGCCCCCTCACAGTCTGGACGCTGAAAGGCTCGCCAACTTCTTCACGTTGAGACCGCTTGTGCAGGAACCGGCCAAAGACAAGCGCCGCAAGCTCTCAGGAACTGGAACTGGCACAGGTACTGGCACCGGCACCGGCACAAGTAGCGGCACTGGCACCGGCACCAGCAGCGGTACCGGCAGTGGCACCGACAGCGGAACAGGCACTGGCACTGGCACCGGCACTGGCACCAGCAGTGGCACTGGCACCGGCACCGGCACCAGCACCGACAGCGGGACTGGCACTGGCACTGGCACAAGTAGCGGGACTGGCACCAGCAGCAGTAGTGGCACCGGCACCAGCACTGACAGCGGAACTGGCACCGGCACCGGCACAAGTAGCGGCACTGGCACCAGCAGCAGTAGTGGCACCGGCACCAGCACTGACAGCGGAACTGGCACCGGCACCGGCACAAGTAGCGGCACTGGCACCAGCAGCAGTAGTGGCACCGGCACCAGCACTGACAGCGGAACTGGCACCGGCACCGGCACAAGTAGCGGCACTGGCACCAGCAGCAGTAGTGGCACCGGCACCAGCACTGACAGCGGAACTGGCACCGGCACCGGCACAAGTAGCGGCACTGGCACCAGCAGCAGTAGTGGCACCGGCACCAGCACTGACAGCACTGGCGGCAACTGGCACCGGCACCGGCACAAGTAGTGGCACGGCACCAGCACTGACAGCGGAACTGGCACCGGCACTGGCACAAGTAGCGGCACTGGCACCAGCAGCAGTAGTGGCACCGGCACCAGCACCGACACTGGCACTGGCACCGGCACTAGCACCGACAGCGGGACTGGCACCAGCAGCAGTAGTGGCACCGGCACCAGCACTGACAGCGGAACTGGCAGCGGCACCAGCAGCAGTAGTGGCACCGGCACCAGCACTGACAGCGGAACAGGCACCGGCACCGGCACAAGTAGCGGCACTGGCACCAGCAGCAGTAGTGGCACAGGCACCAGCACTGACAGCGGAACTGGCACCGGCACTGGCACAAGTAGCGGCACTGGCACCAGCAGCAGTAGTGGCACCGGCACCAGCACCGACACTGGCACTGGCACCGGCACTAGCACCGACAGCGGGACTGGCACTGGCACTAGCAGTGGTACCGGCACTAGTAGTGGCACTGGCACCGGCACTAGCACCGACAGCGGGACTGGCACCGGCACAAGCAGCGGTACCGGCACTAGTAGTGGTACAGGCACTGGCACCAGCACCGACAGTGGCACAGGCACTGGCACTGGCACTGGCACCGGTACCAGCAGTGGCACCGGAACCAGCAGTGGCACTGGCACTGATAGCGGGACCGGCTTTGGCACCGGCACAAGCAGCGGTACTGGCAGCAGCACTGCAACCTACTCCTTGAGCGGCGACTGGTCTAGCTACGACCAGAATCAAGACGAGCAGATCAGTGTGGAGGAATTGAAGTTGGCCCTAGCTGGCAGTGGTGGAGGCTGGACAAGGTTGGCTTCCAACTTTAGCAGTTGTGTGTTGCGGTTGGAAAGATGGTCCAAAGGCTAATAGCCGCATGCGGAAAACTGGGCCCAGGTAGCAAATCGATTTCCTACTCGATTGCTAAGTATCAGCATGACTCCCACAAGGGGGTGAGTGCACTTCCACGTTGGTTGCGAGTGTGTGTGTGTGTGTGTCAAATCAGGAGCCGTTTCTTCTACTTATATTCATGCGCCGCATTGGTTCCCTCTGAATTCCTTCAAGTCGATGCTGTCATACTCTTTACATTCAAGACATGTTGGTATTGCTTCAGATTCGTGTTGATATGCCTGGCACTGCTTCTGGAGGGCAGATGTCCCACTACTTTCGGATCTACTTGTCAGGGACATGCGGGACTCAGTAAGTTTCCAGGTGAAGGAAAACCAAAGAGAACCACTGCAAGCTGTCAGGTTTCTAGTCACTCCCATGCGCAAAAAACTTATTTTTAGCAGGTTCCCCGTTCTGGAAGTACCTCAAAGGCAACTCACCGGCCCGGCGAGTTGAAGTTGACCAACAATCATTTGGCAGGTTCCTCAAAAGTGATGCAGATCACACAAGATGGGTTGTACCTATCAAGGGCACTTGGATATACCATAGTACGCTGAGAACAATGGTAAGGGGACCAGTTCCAGCCCCAGTAAAAGCTGTGGGGAGATTACCTACTTGCCCAGACGAGCTTGTTGTACGTCGGATATGAAACTATTCAATGTCGCTGTGAATTTGAATTTGACCTGTATCGTTTGAGGGTCTACTTGCGAAGTTGCTAAGATTACTTTGAGGTCTCAACAACTGAAAATGGGTGTGGATCAAAAACAAACCACTACAAAAAAAAAAGCAGGTTTTAGTCCTTGGTTCCATTTACCAGGGCAGCCCATTTCCGGTACCCACTTTTGACTCACTCAAATTGAGACCAAGCAGACGTTGCTTCCAAGCAGACGCCTCGTGTTTCAGTGTCCTTTCAGTCGGCGCTTGAAACCGCAGGCGGCATGCCGGGCCCTGGCGGCGACCCTGGCCCCGGCGGCCCCGGCGGGCCTGGGGACATGCCGCCGATGGGAGGCGGAGCTCGGCGATCGATTTGGTCTGCATGATGGCGAGCTCAGCTGGGGGTCAAACGAAGTATCCGTGAGAAGGATCCTTCACTGGGGGATCTGGTGTATAAGCCGAAGGGTCCCGGACCGAACCCAATTTGTCCCTCAAGAAGGCAGCTGAGCCTCAAGAATGGTTCTTAAAGGGGCAATCGATTTGTCAGGTAAGTGGTTCGCAAGCCTGGTGACAAGCCACTGAACCAGGCTTACTATACTAAGTACAGTACCCCTTTTAAAGCAAGTGGTTCGTGTACGCCTGGTTGGCCAGGCAGAAAAGACTTCTAACCACGGCTTCGGCATTTTTTCAACCATGCGTATTTCAACCACTTTCAAGTACCCTGCCCCGTTAAGTAGATTTCGGGTGAGGTAAAGGGCCCAAGGCAGGGGAGACCAGCCCCAAGTAGTATATACCTCCACACCTTTTAGACTGGGGTTGGGGGAGCTGATGTGAAATGTGGCAACCGATTTTCCATTTTAGGAAGACGAGAAAATGGACGTAGGGGAACCCCAAAAGTTCCCCTGCCGCACGCATACACTTGCTGGTCCCCAGCCATCCCCTTAGGCTTTGAGGTTTGTAGTAGTCTCCACCAAGCCACTAAAAGTTGAAATATTTTAGCAGGGGATCTGGGAACAGACCAAGTATTCAGTGTTGGTTTGGTTTTTTGTTTATTGAGGGAGGCAACAGTTGATGAATATTTGGGTTGTGTTGAGTTTCAGACTCTTTATTTGGCACCTCAAAATGGCGGACCCTTAGAGGGATGATATTGACAACCCCCCCGCACCAATTTTCGTTAAACAAAAAGCAACATGTCGCACCATTGGACCTCCAAAAATTGGCGAATTCACTACCCAGCAGCAAGTTGCAGCTTCTGGGAATTCCGCCAGCGAAAGAAGCCGTTTCGGACACTGCGCGTTTCTGAAACTTGTTGAGTCCCGAAAACAAATGTGGGTGTTGGGGGACTTGGTGGGTTTCCGTTTATAGTTTCCTTTACCACCAAGAAGGGATACCTTCAAGAAAGATGCACCCGAGACGGCCTTATCAGGCTTTCTTTGCCCAACAAAAGGGGTATGGCGGCATGGCACTCTCATTGCTCAAGCAAACCTGGACTTGCCATGTGGTGACCAAACAATTTTGGGGTCTCCTCAAACAAAAACATAGTGCAGTCTAGAGCACATATATGAAACAGAGTCAGACAAGATATGTTCTGATGCAACTGTTGAATGATTGAGAACTTGATTCTTTCCCTGCCAAGCCAGCAAGAAGTCCCTAGTTTTTGCCCAAGTTCCATACATCTTGCATAAGAAGTGGAGTATTCTGACAAGAGGTGCCGAATTGTTCGACCATTTGTGAGGGGATCACTTTTGAGCTAGTGTTCAAGTGAAGCCACAGGAAACAGAGCCGGCTTCTTTCTTTTTGTGTGTGTTCCCCGACTGTTGATGGACGAAATCCATTGCAGCCATGGTTGAATCCGCTAGTTTCAAAAGAATCGACTCCTTCCGTTGGGTTTCTGCGATTGCGCCACGGATTTCTCGCCCATGCCTCAGGCGACATGGGCGGCAGGGCGCCCCCTGACGGCGGCGGCTCCGGCCCGGGAGCGCCCGGCCCCGGCAGCAGCCCCAGCGGCCCCAGCGGCGGCGGAAGCTCCCCGCCCAGCGGCGGCGGGACCAACGGACCCGACACCGGCGGCGGTCCCGGATCCGGGCCGACGTCGCCAGAAGGCGTGGGCGGCGGTCGGTTTTTTTTTTTTTTCTCGAGCAATTGGTCCCAAACTGGTGGCTGTCCTTTTGATTTCCTTTGAAACCACAAAACACGTCATGGGTGGCTTTTCTGTTGGTCTCCTTTGAAACCACAAGCAATTTGTTTGTACCCTAAAAAACACCTCCAAGTGGTTGTAGATAGGCGGGTATCAAGATAGTGCTCCCCTCACTCCCCTCAGAAGTTTGCCTTTAGATACCAACCAAAGGTCCAACGCTTTTGCACACCTGAGGCTTGCATGAACAAGTGGGTGGGGGCTTTGTCTTCTTGGTCAACCTTCATACCTTGTAGTATACCACCTCTTGGTATAGCGGTATAGCACCTTTGTGCCAAACAGTGTATCCATTACTGTCATAGCAGCCTCGGTATTGTACGCCTGTCAAGTATCGCCCGCTGCCTGTCAATACCCTTCTCCTAATATCTAGGTCCCCCAGTGGTGCCCTTTTACCCTTTTTGGGTGGAGGGTTCCCCTACTGAAATAAGCTACAGCAAAAGAAAAACAGAAATCCTTATTCTGTCCTCTCTACTGGAGAATTCTAGACATTCATTGACTTCCTGGCCGGCAACTCACACCTGAGCTGAGCCAAGATAGGTCTGCCTTCCCATCGAAACCCCCAAGCCCTCGTGTCTCAAAAAATCCCACCGACCCCGGCGACTCCGGCGCCGGCACGTGCGACTCGTGGCTCCGACTCCTGGGGGATTTTTCTTTCGGATCACCTGGCTCTGCTTCACCGGGCCCTTCTGCACGGCTTTTTTACCTTGCAAGGCCCAGATCCCAGTTCCCAGGTCTCCAGCCACTTGGCGTTCGGCCTTTAAAGGTTGGTTTTCCCTTGATGTTACCTTGGTTACCTTGATGTTACCTACTATCTAATGGAGTCACTGGGATGGGCAGGTAACCAAGCAGGTCACGTTACGGCTTTTCTTCGAGTTGTGATGGATAACCAGGCAATGGCAATGGACTATCGCAACAGTGCCTTCCAAAACAAGCAGGTGCAGGGTGGGAGTGTCATTTTTTTAAACATATAAATAGATAAATACATATATTTATAGTTTTTCTTTTTGGCGGTCCTTTTGGGTTCCCTTTAAGGGGAGTACCCTCAAAACAAATCACACCCAGGGTTGACCATGCATTGCCTTGTTGGCAGCTTTGCGAGCAGTGCTTCGCCTTTGGGCTCAAATTGCATGAGGTTTCACACTCGAGAGCTTGTGAGAATGTATGTTTTGCCCTCCTTGGCTCGTTCCCAGCCTAAGTTGCAAATCTGCCCGCGTCTTCTGTCAGATTTGCGCCAATCCGCAGGCTCGTGTGTGCCATGTACAAGGAGGAGGCGCGACCAGATGCACATACGATTCATCCTGGAGTCTCCTCCTGACCCTTGCATTATGCGCATTATGGGGGCTGGGGGTGGGGAGGGGGAGGGAGCCCAAAGAAGCCCTACATACGGCCTGGAGTCCACAAACCCCTCTATGATAAAGTATGGGCAACAGAGTGGGTGACATGTGTTCCACCCAGCGGTTCCGTTTTTTTGGGGGGGGAGGGAACGTGACCCATGCCCAGATGGAAGGAAGTCCCATGGAGCCAATTGACTGCCTTCTGAGCTGAGCTCGGCGTTCTCTGTGCAGGTTTTGGGGAGATGTCAAGGACTGCGCAAGGCACTTAAAGGGGCGATGGGGTTCGTAGCAAGTGGTGATATGTTGTGCTTTTTTCAACCAGGCTTACTAACCACTTACTCAGTACAACGCCCGTTTAAGCAATAAGTAGGGGGTGGTCACAACTAGGTCCCCCAGTGGTGCCCTTTTACATTTTTTTGGCGGAGGGTTCCCGAACCAAAAGAGACTACAGAAAAAGAAAAAAAAACATGTTGGTACCAACTTATTCTAACCTCTGGACTGGAGGACCTAGACAAGTACCCTGCTCTTTTTGCTCCCCCTTTTCCCGCTTTATGCTTTTTCCGGCCTCGACCGACTTTTTCGGAGGCTGGAAGTCTCGGAGGAAGCCTCTGGCGCGGTGCTCTCAACTTTGCTGCGGCGCCTGAAAGGCGATTTTTCTTGGGGTTGCCAGAGAGAGGGAGAGAGAGTCTGGGACGGCTGGGATTACAGGGGGAATCAGGTAATCGCACTTCCGTTTTTTTGTTTTTGTTTTTCTTTTCTTTCCGGTTTTGGACTTGATACTTTTTAGGGAAGACTATTTTGGTGGTACATTGTAAGTAAACAGTTCAGGAAGCGAGTAATTGGGGTTACCAAACTGTCAGTTCAGATTGTCTGGAAGCCCATCAAACCCAAGGTGCCATTTCCATTTCATACCCGCGACCCTGCTTCAGCAGCTGGCTTGGGGTCTCTGCCCCGGAACGGCTGAGAGCTGCTGTTGGGCGCGATCGTTTTTTTCCTTCTTAGGATTCCATTTGTTTAAGAACATTTTTCTATTTTGCTTTGTTGGTCAAAAGGAATTGATCGCTACTGGACATTCATTTATATTTTTACCAGGGGGCTTAAGCAAATGGACGAAGGGTTTCGGGGGTTTGGGATATAACTGTAGGTGTTTCTTTTTCGGGGGACACCCCCCCCCCCCAAATTAGAATGGTGGTTGTCCTGCCGGTTTCCCTTTGAAACCACGACAAAGGGTACCCCAGAACGTGAGGCCCAAACGACCCTCGTTTGGTTTGTGCTCCGCTTCGGTTCCCCGTTGGGCCGAAAAGTCTGGATTTGTTGCTGTATGCGCCTGCAAGTGAGTATCTGTATATGTATAAATATATAGATATATACACATAGGTACTGGTTGTATAAACTAGGTCAGGGTTGTGCGATCACTCAGGGTCTATCTAACCACTTCTGCGATACTGAAAGGGAATCCCCTCTTGGCTTTTGTATCACAGAAGTTGATTGCATTTCAACCACAGCCCGAACTAGGTTGAGTTTTCAAGAGACCATCCAATTGCAAGACTCCGTGCAGGGAGCCCGGCAAAGCGCTTTAGGCGCTTACAAGGCAGGGATGTCGGAGACGAAGCCTTCCAGTGACTAGATACCCAGTAACCTGACGTTCGGGGGTCCCTTTGAAGGGAAAATGGTCTTCCAGGACCCCCCTGTCAGGCACCATGGAGGGCATTGCTGTGACTTACTCCCTAAGTTCCTGGACTGTCTCCATTTTGGGAAGACAAGTTTCTTGATGAATAAAAGCTCAGGCTTGTTCTGGCCAATCCACTCGGGAATTGAGGTGATGAATTTCTAGGGTTTCTTGGCACCTCAGATCGGACAGTGGAAGGCTTGGGAAGACGAGTTTTCTCTGACCCATTGGTGGCGTCCATGGCAACACAGAATGGAGGAAGGAAGCAATTCCGTGCTTATTGTCCCTAAAGAAATGATTCCTTGCCTCGTCACTAGGTGCTGTCACAACTTTTAATTCACCCTTTTGGATCAACCAAAGGGGATGGGTAATCGGATTCATGTTTACAGACCCCAACGAAGCACCCAGATAAGCTTTCTCAGATGGACGTTGTTCAAAAAGACGACCCAACAAACCTTTGAGATTGTGTCTATTTGTGCGTTAAAATTGGATTTCAGGGTTGTGACCTGTACGCCTGGAGGTCCCTTTTGAAGCTGTTTTCATGTTAGTAGCACGGAATAAGGTCTTGTTGAGAGTACACTAAGAATTGAGTGATCGGTTACCACCAAAAGCAACAGTTGGTGAAGTTGCAATGAAGGTAGTTCTGAGAGTTTGGACCTAGGACATAATGGGAGGTTTCATTCCCAAAAGTGTTTTGAGGCTCGGTCGAACAAAATTTTCATCCTGGTGCGCAAAAGCGTCGTCGTGCAGATTCGGCTCTGTGCTTGGCCGGTACATGCCCCCGCATCCTTTTCGGCCAGGCTCGTTGATTCAAGTTCAGTTTGGCTTGCTACTATAACAGGCAACGAAGGACAATCACAACTTTATCAGAAGGAGAAGCCATTTGCTTTGGTTGCTCTGTCGCCAACCTTTTCCTCAGAAGACCACTGGAATAAAACTCGAAGGCTTGCTGCGTTACGCCTTCCGGTCTGCGGGACAAGGCTTAGCACCTGTGACTTTCAGCACGTGTCGTCCTATGGTAGTTACAACCCCACAGGCAGGGATGGAGCCCTTGGCATCCCACAAAGCGAACTGGGGCTCCGAACCACGGCCATGCTTCACGAAAGGTTGCCTCACAAAGCATTTTTTGGGAGGGGTCTTGGCAACCAGACTTTGGACTTTGGGCGTGTCTTTGGGGAAAGCCACAGTTAGTTGATTCTGAAGGGAAGCCAAGAGGAAATCAACACCCGGGAAAGTCAAACAAATACCTGCTAGCTACCAGAAGTTCTCCAGGAATATCTCGGATCTTTAGGCAAATTTTTACATCATCCTCTTCATCTTCGGCGGACACAATCACTCCGGATCCGGATGCAGCCTCATTCCGACCGCCTCCACAGGTCATTTCGGGACCCAGTTGCCCGCCAGACGCATTCCACACGGAAATGAGTTGAACACCTGGAAACCAGTATATAAATTGAAGCATTTTCGGGGAAATCCAGTGACCCCTGTAGAATGTACTTCTTGTTTGTCGGGTTCTTTTGGCCGCAGGAAACTGCTGCCCCGTTCAGCCGGGCGAGCAGTCGGTGGCCTAGAGCTTCAGAGCCTCCATCAGACTTCGGGGTGCGAAGATCATGCGCCCAAGTCACGCCATGAGTTGCTTCCATTTGCTGAAATGAATAGTTCATATTTTCCCCTATGGTTTTGAAAGGAAATTATCGCTAGATGTCTTTTCTGGGGGTCTTAACCAAATGGAAGGTTGCAGGACTCGGCCTCGCACTTTGGCTGACCACTTTGGTTGGGACCAGAGACGCCGGGGGTTTGTGCCGCCAGTACAAAAAAAGGCATCCCAGCGACTCCTAGTAACCTGTATAGCTAGTAACTGGCCATTGGCGACTGTTTTTTTGGGAGCCAGGCTTGGTTCCCAAAAAAGTGGGAACCAGATTTATGTCTAACGGTTTTAACGGTTCCGGGCCTCTTTTTCACGGTTCCGGGCCTCTTTTTCACGGTTCCGGGCCTTTTTTCACGGTTCCGGGCCCCAATTTCACGGTTCCGGGCCCTTTTTTTGTGGTTCCTGGAACCAGCGGTCAGTTACCAATATGGCAGGTAACCAAGCTGGTTCCGCACAGTACAAGGGGGGTGGGTAGTTGGGAGCCCTAGAGTTCGTTACGGTTTCTTAGGGTGCTTTAGGGAGCCTTAAGGAACCCCTCTTAGGAATTCCAGAACCCGATGAGGTTTTTGGATGAGGGCAACAAATCCTGAGGTTCCTTGTCGGAGTCTAAGGATTGATTTCTTGCTCATTCTCTTCACCCATAGTTTTCTTCGTAATCCACCCATGTGTGTGCACATGTCCTGAAGAGACGGGTCCTACTTTCGCCCTTAACAGAACTTGAATGGTTTGTCATTAAAAGGATCCCACCCCGCCGGGACCAGTTGGTTTGCCTCTCCCGGCTATCAATTCGAATAGGGAGCCCATTCTTAATTGAACATCGTCCACCAAAGGGTCCCCTATGAAAAATCATATGATCCATCTTGGTGTTGGTACCTTTTTTTGTGGTTTCACAGGAAACCGTACCTGTTTTGTTGTTGATAAAGGGAAGCCAGCAGGAAAACCCGCTCGTTTTGGTGGGTCTTTCAAAAGAAAGACACCTCTTCCTTTGCCCCCCAAAAACACGTACCAACTCCCCAAGAACAATGACACATATTGCCCAGCTGGTTTTTTTCCTGGAGATGTCGGGGCTTCCGAGGCCTTCGGCTGGGCAGTTGCAGGCCTTGGGCGGGAGTCCGAAGCCGCGGAATGTTGTCCGAAGGGCGGTGATTTCGGTTGGTACAGGACGACTCACCTGACCGGAGCTCATGGACTTTAATCACTTTTTTGGGGTTTGGAGCATATTACTGGTAAACCGAAAAGGTGTGGTTACTTTTTCTGGCCGACGTGCAAGGGAAGCATGGCCTGTTGATGACTTTTAGAGATGAAGGACCATTCAGCACCATGAAGGAATAAGGACCATGTGGGGGTTGATCAAAAGGTCAAAAGGTCCGATAAACATGGAACGATCGTTGGGGCAAACCACACAAATGCTTGATCTGTCCCAAATGGGAAAAGTTACCCATGGTCATTTGGGGGCCAGGAATCAGCCCCCACATACCCATATTGTTTCCCTAGTTCATAGCGAGCTCACCGATCGGGGGTATAATGAGCGAATGACATGATAAACGTCCAGCTGTTGACACTATTAAAAAAAACGTGCAGATACTGTGGAAGACATATCAATGTGTTGAACCCATGGGACCATTGTTGGTTGGTATTTGCAGGGGAATCGAATCGTTTCAGGGTTTCGGTGGTGGAGGTTCATCCACAGTATACCATCAGTTCTTCTCTCTCTTTTTAAATATACCCACCAGCAGTGCCCTTCAATGAAGGGCACTTGACGTGTTTGAATCGAGGGCACTTAAGGCCGTGTCGGTGCCCAAAGTGACCCTTTGATTGGTTTACTAAGTGCCCGTTTTGGCTTGATTGGGATCCTGTTGAAATCGAACAGCTACCCGTGTCGAAGTATGACAACTGCCACATTTGATTGGGGCCGACCTGGAATGGCCCGAACATGGCGTTTTGAGTGTCAAAGCGTGTCATTTGAGTGTCAGTGGGGGTGCGACTTACCCCTTGAAAAGCTTACGCTAGTGTCGGTCCCCCCTGCGTGAGTGTTTATTCGCTGTCGCTGCGGCCATTTAGCGTCGGTCCCCCCCATTCGCATTCACGTGTCGCTGCGGCTCGATTTGCCGGACTGGGGAGGGATCTGCTGGGGAGGGCAACTCTGAGGGTCTAAGTGCCCTTCAAACGGCTTAAGTGACCTCTTTGATTTTGGACTAAGTGACCTTATTTTCAAAATGCATCATAGCACCCAAAGCATGAATCGAGGGCACTGAACAGAAGCTGGTACCATTTGTTTGGCGGTGTTAAAGCACAACCAGAAGGAAAGCCACGGTTTTGGCTTAAAACATACCCATAAATATGGTGCCATGAATTTCCAGAGCCACCTCAAAAGTGGTTGGTGGACATGCATCCTCAAGTTTTGATCCCCCAAAGGCTCCCCTGTTGAACTTCACGGCCAAAGGCCCTTGGAAAGCCTGGCATTTTCGGGGGGGGGGGGGGTGTAACACATAGTCCAGAAACTGGTCTACATTCATCAAGGCCAATTTTTCTGGGGCTGATTTAGAGAAGATTCCGGTCTCTCGGAAAATCACACATCTCCAGAGGTGCAGCAACTCTTGGAAATACTGTGGATGGTTGCGAAATCCGTTTCGCAACCTAACCCCAAAAACTCCAAGCAATGTTATGGCTTCGCATGGTTTCTTAGGTGGTGCGATGTCTGGATTTCGGGTCATCCACGGTAAACAAATCCCCCGTCTGTTTTTAAACGGGACTCCGTTTCATGGATCTGTGCAGGCAATGGCGCAGACGACGACGCAGAACCAGCCCCTGGAAACTGGCAGCAAGGCGATGGAAAATTCGGAAAGCCCGGGCGTTGGGAAATTCGTCGAAAGCCCCCGGGGCTCGGACGTGGTGGTCGCTGGCTTTTTGTGGGGGGGAAAGGAATTGGGTTGTTCGTGGAAAGCCAAAAAAGTGAGGTGACCTGTTTTTTTTGGCCCATCCACTCAGGAAGTGGGACTTGGAAGTTAGTAAGTGGCTAATAGCGTGTTGTTTGCAAGGGTTGACTGCGCTATGGGGGACTTATCAGCCAGTCGTAACCTAGGTCACAAACAACTTACTACCTTGGCCGAGCGCCCCCCCCCAAACATCCCAGGAAGGATTGTTAGAACTTAGAAGGTGTTCTGAGAACCATTCTGGGGGGGGGGGGGGGTTAGAGGAGGTGCCCCCCCCCCTTCCGCTTCCTGTGCATCTTTCTTTGTGGACCACTGACTCCCTGAGTTCCGTTTCGGCCTTTGCAACTTTAGGCTTGGACCATTTTAGGGATAAACTCTTAAAAAATGACTTATCAGGGCAAGTCCGTGTCAGTAGCAAAAAGTTTGCTTTTTTGGCCAAACCGATCACGAGGTGAACAGTTTGCGAGAGAGCACACGGATGAGAGTCTACGGCAGGAGTTCTTCACCAAATAATATGACGTATGTTGCCAAATGCGGGGAATCTCAAAGAAATGGCTGGTTGCTGATTTTGACTTGAATGTCCAATTTTGCAGCACTCGGTCCCATTTCTTTTGAGCAAAGAGTCCCCGCCCAGTTTGGTCCGCAACCCGTATATATGTATACTTGAAGACTGCGTGCCTTCGCATGCCGCGCCATGTTGCGCCACGTGTAAAATTAAACCACCAGCATATGGACCGCAGGTTTTAGTCCTCGGTTCCATTTACCAGGGCTCCATTTAGGGGACCCATTTTTGACCCACAGCCATATCAATCTGAAACCATTGACTCCAGCTCGGACAGGTTGAACAAAACTCCGGGAGCGACTGATTGAGCTTGCTTCGTTCAGATGGCTCGTTTTTCATTTGTAATTACATCGACCAGGGATAGACCTAGCATAGCTGCATGCAGCCATTTCGGGTGTGCCAAGGACAAGGCACATGGAATGGCAAAAACTTTACAAGTGCTTGGACTTACCAAGCACACTAGGCATATACCTGAATACTAGGTCCCTCAGTAGTGCCCTTTTACCCTTTTTTGGGGGAGGGTTCCCCTACTAAAATAGACTACAGAAAAACATCAGGTACCCTTATTCTAACCTCTCCACCGGAGACTCTAGAAGAGGTACTTGGATGTTCGTTCCCAAGTTAGTAGGTCCTTAGCCTGAATTGCAACCTAGCAATAGCAAGGTTAGCTTTAGTTGGGACTTGTAAGCGGTAAGCGGGTTATAGCCTAGGCTACTAGCAGCTAACTTGGCAACGAGCACCTGAGTACCTGTCTCCATGACCCTTTAAAGTGGGTCAATGACCCCAACATTTTGGCTAATGACCCCATTTTTCAAGGGCCATGGAGAATCCAGGTAGTTCTTTGTGGGTTGCCCGCGTTAGTAGTTCTTTGTGGGTTGGGTTGCCGGCGTTCTGCATCAGCCATGATCCTACCGGCGGTTTTTTTTGGTGCGTTCGGCCAGGTGAACGCTTGCTCCTTCACGGAGTTCTTTGACACGACGCTCCGGGAATGCGTCAAAGGAAGATGCCGCACGCCTTATACCAGGCATGGCGGAACCTGGGGCCTGGGACCTGGGGCCTGGGGCCGCGGGCCGGAAGGTGTCAGTATCCTTTGGCGGCATTTAGCTGTGGGTCAAAAATGTGTGCCCGAAATGGAACCCTGGTAAATGGAAATATGGACTGAACCTGCGGTCTTCTAGTGGTTTCTTTTTTGACCCATAGTCAACATGGTCATTTGGGTGGTGGTTTGTTTCTTCTCCTTAAGACCACAAAGAAGGCTGAAAGGGGTACCTGGAGTCTCCACGACCCTTTAAAAATTGGGTCATGACCCCTTGATTTTGGGTCATGACCCCTTTTTGCAAACGTCATAGAGACTCCAGGTATCCTCAAAACAGCCAGACTTTTTGTTTGTGAGCTTGAGCATGCGCATGACAGATTGGCTTAAGTCTTGCTTGGTCGGCATGTCAGTCACAGTCCTTTTGCGCAACCTTGGATGTGGCTAGAGCTGCCCAAACAGACTGAGCTGCCCAAACAGACTGAGCAGCTTGCAAGAAAAAGGCGCCTTTTTTTTTTGGGGGGGGGGGGGGGTCCCCGGATATATATATATATATGTATATATATATATATATAAAGATGGTTCAGGCGGGGTTCCCGCCAGGCCGGACAAAGATCGCTTCTGCACGCCCATCTCCGAGGAGGAGAAAGCAGCCATCGACCCCACCGCGTCCGCCCGGAATCCTCGCTTCGTGTGTGGAGTCGCGGCGTGCGGGCGTGCGGTCGGCTTTCGGTGAGTCAACCAAGCTGGAAATAGGTATGGCTCAAAAATCGGCCCCAAAATACAGCCCTGGTAGCTGGCAAATTAGACTAAAACCTGCGGTTCCCTGGCTCTTAAATGTAGAGCAGGGGGAACGCAGAGAATCAGGAAAGTGCAATGTGCTGTGGTGTTTTTTGCGCGTCAACATGGCTCTGCCTCTTGTACGGGTGTCGTGCAACTTTTGTCACTGGGGGCCGCTTCGGTGCTAAAACGAGCGAATCCACCCGTGAGGTAGATCGGCTCACCCGCAGTGGAAAGCCCAAACGTGAGCCCATAGAGGGCTCTTCCTGGAAATGAGAGGAACATGGGCATCGAATCATGCGTGGGAACTCAAAGTCGACATGTCCAACGCGACGCGAATTTGCGGCTTACCTTGGCTGGTGGCTGGTGGTTGGAAGGGATCGAAAAATGGTAGTACCAAATGGGTCTGCTGTTTTGATGGGTACAAACAACATGAAAGCCTGAATCCAATTTGGGGCCTCCCACATTAAAAACGACACACCCGAGTATGCGAGCTCAACAATGACGGGGGGGTGCCTGGCTTCTTATAGGGGCCACTGGAGGCTTGGAAAGGTGCACCTTTAAAAGCCGGGTCCTTCGGCGACGAAACATCCATTCGCGTGATCGGAGCGCTTGGGGGTGGTGTCAAAGGGCCCAAAAGGAGACCAAATACCTTCTGCGCAGAACACCCACGAAAAAAATTAAAGAACTGTGAGTTTGCTTCTCGGAAGTCCGTTCCCGCGTTGGATGGAAAAGCCCACCTGGGGTTTCACCCACTGGGAAAACTGAAGTCCACCGAGCATCAGACTTCTTGAGAAGGGTTGCAACCCAGGGCTTCCACCCTCTTGACCTTCCCCCCTCTTTCTGGGTCCCCCACTATTGCCCTTTTACCCTTTTTGTTTGGGAGGGTTCCCCTACCAGAACAGACGTACAGCAAAAAGGGTACCCCTATTCTAACATGCACCTAGCTTTGGACCCCCACAATCATCGCAAAGTGGATTCAATCTTGGAGGACATCTGCTTAAGGCGGGTTTTTATCCAAGTAAAAAGCCTTACAAGGGTACCTGGACCCCCAAACTACCCGACTACTTTTTTGTTTGTGCCATATTTGTTTGGGTAATATAACTTTTAGTTGACATCTTGCCAACTTGGCCAAGCACCCCCATTCAGTGGAGTCCTTGTTAGTGTGTCATAACCCAGAAGGCCATGTCCACTTACCAAGACTTGGCCAAACATACTAAGTAGGTTTTGGACGGCCCCCTCCAAAACAACATGGTGGTTGTGCTTTTTGTTTTTCGGCAACACCACCCAAAAGGGGATGGGGGTTTTCCATCTAACCCGCTGGGTTTTTTCCTCTCCAGCCCGCCGGCACCGGGAAAATGGGAAGCTCTGCCGAGGTCACAGATTCCCTGCGGCTCATGGGATTGCCTGCTGGCTACGACATGGTGCGGAGGGTTCGGTCGTGCATCGGTTTCCCTTGCATGGCTTTCTGTTGGTTTCCTGGTCAGTTTGTTGCTCTGTTTGTTGTGCGAGTTGTTTTTTTTTTTTTGTGTGTTTTGTTTTTTGCTGCTTTCTTTGGTTCTCGAGTTGCCATCGGATGTTTTCTTGGTACTCTGTCTGCGAGTGGCACTCTGTCGTGAGTCATTTCAGCTTGGACCTTCAGTGGGTTGGGATCGTTTTGCCCACAGCTACGTGGGCTGCGTCTTACAGGACAACCACCATCCTGAAAGCCCAAAACGAAAAGAGCCACGTGTTCATCCGTTTGCGTTTCAGAATATGTGTTGTTTTCTGTTGGTGTTGAAAGGAAACGATTTCACGACTGGATTCCCTGAATCAATGGAAGTGTTGAATGAACGTGTTCGGGAATGGTCCATGGACCTTCGGGCGCAGTTCTCCTCCCAATTGCACGGTCACGTATGCGCCAGTGGTTGTGTTTCGTGAAGGACTCCCTGGCACTCACTGTCTGAGTTTTAACTTTAGCCACATGTTAACCCCGGACTAATAAACCCCTAGTTGATTAATAGCGGGGTGCTCCCTTTTTATAAATCCTGGGTCAACATTATGGGGTTTGACCATTTTGGCGGTAAACAACAAGTCTAGTTGCCTTTGCCAATTCTATTCGATCGGAAGTGAGGGTATTGAGGGTTGCACACTCTCCAACTTGTTGTTTGTCAATTGGGAAGCCCAGACCATAGAAGTCCTTTGTGTTGTTGTTTTTTGGAAATAAAGGGCCTGGTAGACACATTGGCTGAGTCATCCACCAGGGCCATCCATTTTCCGAAAACAGGACACCTCTGGCCCAGACCCCGTCCAGAACGCATCCAAAGGCACCGGCAGGTGTTGAGCACCGCAAAAGTCAAAGAAACGAAGCAAGTCGGGCCGCCCAACTCACTCCATGACAAACCGGAACTCGGATTTGAGCCACTTGGGTTTGGACCGTTTCAGCGGTAAATAAGAAGGTCGGACTTCTTCTTCTTCTTATTCACTCAGGAAGTGAGAGTTTGTGTGTTCCACAATTGGGCCAGCCTCCCAGACGATTCAGGTGCAGATTCATGTCCACCGCTCTTGAGGTGGTTGAAACTATTAGATATCATCGCCAAATGGGTATGTGTTCAATTGTGGATACGGACCCGCCAAAAAACCTGGACCCCTCTTTGACCCCCTTTCTTGTGCCTTTGACCCCAAAAAAAGGGGTACAGTACGGCAGAAGTAAGGAATCGGTCCTCTGGGGGTCCTCCTGAGCTAAACGTGGCGAAACCAAGCTCCAAATGGGGGAGGGGGAGGCTTAGATCCAAACCGGTAGCTCGAAATTCCAAACCGGAGCTCTGAATGTCCCAAACAACTTTTGCTGGGGTGAAGGGGAAGCAAGAAAAACATATTTGGGCCATGGCTCGCATACACCAAGAGTGTTGGGGTCGGGAGTTGTTCTTCCTTTTTGTTTTGCTCATCTTGGCTCTCGACTAAAGCATATAAACGGAGAAACATCTTAAGTCCTAGTCAAAGGGGCGATCGGGTACTCAGTAAGTGGGTGACGACCATGGTTATATCCCACTTACCGTGGTTGTAAGTCTCCGTTCAGTGTGTTAGAACCATGGTTGTTACCCACTTACCAAGCACCCGATCGCCCCTTTAAGCAGATTTTGGATTGAACGTTGACCAAGGTAGGTGGGTCTTGTGGTGCCTGCTCCAGGACCAGATCTTGAATGGGGGCCAAGCGCGGGCGCGCTTCGAGAACGAGTTTGCCAAGCCGTGGACCAAGTTGGGAAGCGAGTCGCTGCTTGGGGCAAGTGCTTCCATGTGCGTTTCAATTGTGTTTCTCCCTTGTTGGTTTTAACCAGAATCGGTTTTACTACAGGAAATAATGTCTCCTTTCTTCAGGGGGCTTGAACAAATGGATACAAGCGTTGGCTTTCTGGGTTAATCGGGTTATAACCAACAATGTCAAGTCTACTAGGGGGACTCAAGATAGTAAGAGGGTTATAACTGGCCAAAAAACATTATTAACTTGGCCGGACAGCAAGTTTTTGATGGATGAAGTTTTGCACCAGTATTCCTCGCGGCTTTATCCATTTCAGTTGCAGAACTTTGCTCCATCCACAATAGTTTAGTAGGTAACTTGCCATGTTCATCCTGGTTTACAGGTTGGTTTCGTTGGTCAACTACTATACAGCTAAGAGGAGTCACTGTGTAGGGGATGAATCCCTGTGGCGGGGCAATATTTGAAATGGTATCCAAAGTGAAACCACGGTATTTGATTGAGAGTGCCTCAGTTTTTGAGTCAAGCCAATGTTTCTAGCCAATGATCCAGCTGTACCTTCCCCATTCTCTTCAGGGATCCTTTTCTTCAACAAATGGTTGCCAAACAGGGAGTATGGGTGGTTTCTGAAGAGAAGAATGGGTGGTTGGAGAATGGTGGGAATTAACCTTCCCCATTCTTTTAAACGATCGTTCTTTTCAGAAAAGCTGTTGATTTTTTGTTTGCTGGTTTTCTGTTGGTTTCCTAAGAATTGGAAATCCAGAATGGACATGGGAGCTACCTCCAAGCATTGGAGTGTGGGCAGGTTTCTTCTCAGATTCAATTGCTTGTTTCAGGCCTTGTGTCGACTCTGGACGCTTCTCTGGTTGCATTTGGTAATGTTTGGCCTGCAACTGTTTGGTTTGGGCAAGCCAACAAGTCTTACCATTCCTTTCAACCATCGTTTAATTCAATGGAAAGGCCAGGTCCTAGCTGGGTGGCTCGGATTTCGACTCGCTGAATCGATTTCCGATTGCTGACCGGTTCCGGTTGCCTGGTCGTTGCCCTTCCGATCCTTTAAAAGGGATCGAGGTTTTGAGAGATCTGGATCCTAGGCTTCCTTGGAGTGTAGAATTCTTGACATGGCAAACTGAAGTCAGCACAGGGGCCGCCCCTGTTCTCAGAACCTAGCTAAGAAGCTTCCTGGTCCTAGGATGTTTTTCTAAAGCTTGTAAGAACTCTTCCTGGCATGTGGGCAGGTTTTTGCCCAGCTTCAATTGCTTGTTTCACGCCTTGTGTCGACTCTGGACGCGTTTCTTGTTGCTATTTGGTTGGACTGTTTGGCCTGCAACTGTTTGATTTGGGCAAGCCAAGACGTCTTACCCGGGGTCCGCGAATAGGATTTTGTTTATACAGTCTTTTTGGTATTGTTACTTCAGTGTTTGTTTCCTCGTGTTTTGCACATGTTGGATGCCAGGTCTGCCCCTGAAGTGTCTGTTGGTGTTCTTTGTTTGTTCCTTTTTTGTTGATTGATTTCCTCATGTGTTTGCTACGTTTTGGCACATTTGGATGCCTGGTCTGCCCCTGAAGTGTCCCTGGCTGCATCTGGTTTTTGCTTTTGTTGGTTTGTTTTGCTGTTTGCATTCGTTTGTTCCGCGTCTGTATTTTTTATCTTTTGCTGAGATTCAGTGTTTGCCTATCTCTCTGGGGGTCATAGGATTGGTGCATCTTCGCGCCAGGCCACAGACGGTGCAGTTGGTGGAGACCTTTCTTTCTAACCATCTATCAGGGCAGCCTAAACAGGTTCTAACAAGCGGGGTCCTGCTTGCGCCAAAGGTCAATCATTAGAGCCCATCTGTCAAAGCCCATTGAGGGTCACTCACAAACTTTGTTCAAAGCCGACCTTTTAACTTTTGAGGTTTCGCATAGTGTGTCTGCGGGTACCTCACCTCTTTTTTTTGGTTTTCAAGGGAACCCACAAGAAGCACCAGTTTTTGTTTGTCACCCCCCGACTAGGAATCGGACCCCTGCAACTTGTCCCTTCGGTTGTCCGGAGTGAATGCCAGAAAAGGGGCACCAAAGCGAGACACGCCCAAAGATGTTGTCAACTGTGATCGCTGTTGCTTGGGTTGCAAGCAAGACCGTTTGGGTTGGTTCTCAACAGGCGTTGTGTTGAGTGGCTTGCTTGCTTTGTGTTTGCGTGTGCTTATCTTATTCTGTGTGTTTGTTTGTTTGTTTGTTTGTTTGTTTGTTTGTTTGTTTGTTTGTTTGTTTGTTTGTTTGTTGGATTGATTGTTTTTTTTGTGCTCGTCTTTGTTTGTTTGTTTGATAGTAGTGCCTTGGTTTGCCTGTCCAGTCTTTTACTTTTGTTGCATGTGTCGTTGCTTCCGTTCGCATTGTTTGACGTGTTGTTTTATGTTTCGGCAAACTTTGTTTTGTGGCTTTTCTGTGTGTCTGTGTGTTTACTTATTTATCTGTCTCTTTGTTGATTTGTTTATTCATTTATTGACTGGTTCACGTGTTTGTATGTTATTCCTTTGTCTGCCTCCGGGTGCCTCGCCGCTTGGGCCACTCGGCTTCGGCATGCTTCGGCTTACGCGGATTCGATTTTCGGCGACTCGATCGCAAGGGAGCTGGCCACACAACTGGACATCGTGCCGTCCATGATCGTGGTGCCAGGGCGCCGAGATTTTTTTTGGAGAACCCGACACTTCCATTCGGTCAAGACACTTTTTGTTTATTTTCTCTGTTGGTTTTAAAGGGAATTGATTTCGCTACTGGAATTATGTTTATTTTGTCAAGGGGACTTAAGAAAATGGAGGGGACATGGGTGGCTCGTCCTTGTTTGGGGCTCTGGTGCCCAGTGGGTTGCGGTGCCCTTTTTTCCAACTTGTTTTGGATAAGGCAAGGGCTCCCCTTGAAATTGAACCAACAAGAAAAGGGTGGGTCTCACAGATCTTAGACAAGGTAGACCGGTGGACTAAATGGGTGGCTCGTCTTTTCTGGAATTGGTAACTTCCACAAGATGGGGAAGTGAGATGAAGCGGGCTCGGTCAGCACCAACCTCTGCTTGAGAGTTTCCTCGCGTGAACTCGGAGGTCAAGCACAGCGGACCCCCAGGTAATTACTGGTACCAAGAGCAAAACCCACCCATTTTTGGAGGGATCCCCCTCAAATTTGCGGTTTCTGAGGAGCTTGTTGGTTTCCCCAAGAAAAGACACAACACTTGGTGGTCTCCGAACAACGCCATGACCCTGCCTTGGGTAAAGCAGTGTTGTGGCCAAGCGTCCAAGAACGGACCTTTAATTTCAGAAACAAGCATGTGAGCCAAGCTTGCAGTGTTCTTGGTAATGTTGACCCATTAATAAACCCCTGCTTATTACTAATATGGGGGGTGTTCCTGGTTTTAATGGCGGTTCATCATTTTCGGAGGGCCACCACAAGCAAGGGTTTATTCATCCACGGTTGTTATTGTTCTCACTTGTCCAAAGCGAATCAACATTTTGACCATTTGGTTTTCCCCTGTCCCATGTTGGAATCCCATGTTTGGTCAAGGTCCCAAAAGGTGATTACCGTTTCTTTCCCGGTCCTTTCGAAACCTCAAGTCCTCGCCGATGGTTGCCAGGAAGGACATCTCCGAAGGCTCCGTCATCGTGAATTTCAGGCACGACCTTCAGTGCTCAGTTTTATTGCGTTTTGGTTGTACCTTTGGACTTAAACTTGTTGGGAACCACGAGATTCTTCATTGGACCCACAACACCTTAAAAGCTTTTTGGGGTCAACAGCAACCACGTCATGAGGGTTAACCTTGGTCGGGGGGGCAATGAGTATGTTTAGTTGAAGGGTACCCCTTTTGGGCTGGTTTAAAGGAAGGGGACCACGAAGCCATTTTGGGGAGTTCTATCTTGGCATTTAGACAAGTCCCGATAGGTCCGTTTGTAAAGTAAGTAAACCCCCCAAATGATGTCCAGTCTTTAGAGTTCCCAAATTCCATTCACACCCTCGTAAGGATCTTTGGTGCCCTGACAATCAGTTTGGCTGAGGAGTGAAGATTGGGTTCTTCTGGTTGCCGATTAGTTTGATTCTCATTCGGGTGTTTCTCCAAAAAAGGCCCCCTCTTCTTAGATGGTTTTGCAAGGGCACCATGTCTGCTATCTTGAGCAACACATTCAAACCAGTTGGGAGGGATGACGCCGATTTGAATCCTTGGATAAGCCACCTGGTGCCATCCATCCACTATATGTTTTGGTCAGAGTGCCCCGTTCAGACTCAATCCTAACGCCTCCGCGAGGATCGATGCGCCAGAGACTGCGAACGAGGCGGGGTGGGTGGGTGGGGCAAGGCCTTCCAAATACTTCCGCTGTTAAGAACAAAATTGGGTACGTGTCACCCTAAAATGGTCTTCCCTTTTGTGTCTCCTACCCAAACTTGGATCAGAACGAGACGCCGTGTTGTCCAATCCTCACTTAAAACAACTGGGTGTGGGTCAGAAATAAGTACCCAACATGGAACCCTGGTAAATGGAAACGATGACTAAACCCTGCGTTCCATATCCTGGTGGTTTGATTTTGACCCATACCCACCTGAGCCAACTGTTGCGAAGCTTTTGGGTTCTGTCTTCATGTTTTGGCTCGAGGGCAGGGGCAGGTGGGGCAGGTTCCAGCTAAAGCCACACCCAGTTTTGGGGGCCCCCTGCATGTTTTTGGGCATTTTTTGTTAGACGTTTCGGACGCAGACACCTTTGACTTCTTGCAGGTCTTTTCTAGGGTTTTGCAGGTTGCAAGCGTAACGAGAGAGATAGTGGGGTCCACCAGGTCACGCCAACTGCTAGTCAGAAGGCAAAGCCGAGGCTTGGTTTTGGCAACCTTGTGACAATGCTCTTGGAACAGGGCCCCGGATTTTTTCAACTCTTTGCCCACAACTGCCACTTGTTGAGTTTCAACAAAGGAACTTTGAGGAGGGATTTCTGGGGAACTTGGGCTGTATTGCAGGGAACCCGATTCTCGAATTTGCCGGCATGTACCATGACTTTCTGTTCCCAGTTTTTGTTTTGTAGTATGGCCAGGGCATCCGGAATGCCTGTTCAGCTGCCTTCTCAGTTGGGTCTGGCAGAGGGTCCTCATATTTCCTCAAACACTACATCCCGCCAAAAGAAAAGTCACTTTTTATGGTCCTGCATTTTTTTATATTATAATAGATAACATATACCCGCTAGTTTGCCGAATCTATCGGCAAACCCGATGCTTTGGGACGCACCCTGTATTATGTGTAAAGAGTTTGGGTTTGCAGGGTGTTAAGGGTGCTTGGGTGTTCGGCGAAGTGAGTCAGTTGCTAAGTAACCTAAACTAGAACCTGCACACAAATGCCCCCGGTCAGCACAGTTCACCTTCTTAGTGGGTTATACCCCGGGTGGCCAGCCACAAAATCAATCGAAGGTCCAAGTAGGGTTCAACCCCAACTAAAAGAATGGCCCCAAAGGAAAAACCACAAAAGTTGTCAGCTTCTGAGCTGGCCTTTTCCCTTCCGTTTGGTGAAATGAATATGTTTTTTTGTCCCTGTTGGTTTTAAAGGTAACCGATTTCACTGGAAACATTTTTTCTTCCAGGGGACTTAGGCAAATGGAGGTTCCACTTGGCCGGACATCCCCCACCGTACCGCGTTGCCGTCCATTTTCAGCTGGAAACTCCCGAAGCTCCGAGGGCATGGTGCCGGCGGTGGTGCAGATGAGCCTAGCCTCCGTGCGCCAGAACCTGCCGGGGGGCCCAAAACGGACGTGGGCCCGACTTGGGCAGCTCAGTTGCCCAAAGCGAATCGACCTTTTCACCTTTTGGTTTTTCTAGTTTTGGTACGCATTTTTAGTCATGGCCTGGATGGACGACGTCCATTTCGCGCCGCCGCCTAGGAAACCGGTGTGTGTTTGTCTTTGAGGGTACCCTGTTTTGTGGTGTTAAAGGGAAAGCCGCAAGGAACACCAAAACTCTAGGGGGGTCCGGTTCCAAAAAATGACACCCACGTCCCGCGAGATCGGAGAGCCGCACGCGAGGCTAAAGCGGCGAGGGAAGGAATAATGGAAGAGTTGTGTGAGTGCGGATTCTTAATGGTAGGCACCCTCCCTTAGGGGTCATTGTTTGCAGGATGTGTGTTTTGATGAATTTCGTTGTCTTTTTTGCTGGTACGTTTTTCACACTGGCTGGTCTAGAGGGCAACCAGAGGAAATGCGCCCAACATGGGGGTGAGCAATTTCCAGCATCCCTTGTGGGCGTAAACAATCCAAGTTTGATTTTCCCAGAGGGAAGCCGAGAGTTAGCTTTCCCCGGGAATTGACAATTGATGGTGGATGGAACCTTTGAAATTCTGGTCTTGTTTCAGTAAATGGGAACCTGGACCCCCAAAGGACCGATTCCTTATTTGCTACCTTTGTACCCCGTCATTTCGGCTGAAAACAATAGGAATCGGTCCTTTGGGCGTCCGGGCTGTCTTTTGGGTTTGAAGAGAAAACCAGAAGGAGCCCAATTTCTGCCGAAATGACCCCCCCAAAAAAAGGGGTACAAAGGCAGCAAACAAGGAATCGGTCCTTTGGGGGTCCAGGCATGTTGTGATCGTAACCAAATCGGTAAATAAGATGGCGAATCGAATCTCCTTGAGCACGAACTCGAAAAAACGTCGAGTCAGGGCCAAATTGGAACACCCCGTTCTCGCGCCATCCAACGTGTAGGACACGTTGCTCAGGCCGGCCGCCGAACAATTTCTCCACAGGGAATGCCACCCAGCTCAGGTGACTTGGTTCCTCTAGGGTCGCACATCTGCCCCAACCGCAAGCCAACCATGCTGGGAAATTCGCAGGTCAAATGACGAGCTCTGGGGCAAGAAAAGCCAACATGTTGTGCACTCCTGAGCTCCGGTTGGTGAACAGCAACTTGGTATGTCACGCGCAGATACTTTGAAGCCTTGTTTGAAGGGATCGGATTGCGCACCTCACACTCCCCAATGAGGAGACTGGCGCTCGGGCGTAAACTAGCTGAAACCGAAGCCGAAAAAAATGCTCAGGGACGCGCTGGCGTCGGACGGGAGCCTCCTTAGCAACACGGTGCATTTCTCAGAGCCGGTCGGATGTTCAGCCTGCGTCGTTTTACTTGGTTGTTGGGTACTGAAAGGGGTAATCCCTATATTTCCCCTTGTGCCGTCTTAAAACAGCACCTTTTAGCGCCGGGAAAGGTGAGTTTCCTTTGGGTGGGGTGATGTTTGAAGTGGAAATATAGGGAACCCAGTGAAAGGGGCGATCGAGACTTACCACCATGGTCAGGGTAAGTTTTAACCAGGGTTGTTATCCACTTACTAAGTACCCGATCGCCCCTTTAGCTAGTAAGTTAACGTTGGTAAACTAAGGTACAAACCCCTTGTTTCCGTCCCAAGTGGATTATTCTTTAGGGCTTAAAAGCCAGGATAACAGCTTACTCGCTTGGGCCCAACCTCCAAGGAGCAAGTAGGGTTGCGGGATAGCAGGAGTGCCATGGTTATGACCTTACCAAGTAAAATCGTTTGAAGATCCAAGTTGGAACAGGGCATCCAACAGGAAACAGAAATGACACCTGGAAGTGCTGCAACTTAATAGAGCTTGTACAAGCATAGAACCAGCTGTTTCAACAACCAGCTCCCTAAACCCTAAACCCTAAACCCTAAACCCTAAACCCTCCCGGCCTCTTTTTTTTTAAGGGAAGCCCAACTTGGAGGGTGTTTCACCAATCGCGGTTGCATCATCTGCTTTAAGCCGGCGGTTGGCTTCTCCCTTAGGGAAGTTTGCCCGGTTTTTGTCGAGCATTTGCAGGTGCCTCCAGGCTCAATAGTAAGGCTCTTATAGGAACCCCCAAAGGACCCCTTGTTTCTGCCTTTGTACCCCTTTTTTGGGGTCAAAGGCAGAGAAAAGAGGTCCTGTGGGGGTCCAGGAACCTTAGGATTGTGGAGGGGGCTAGCCCTGCTTCCAACTCAAAGATTTTGTTCCATGGCAGCGCCTTCTCGTGAACGCTACCTGCAATTTATTGTCCGGGACTTGGTGACTCTTGGACGGCAAAGACCTGACTCTCGAAATGAGTGCGTTGTCCCACGCTGGCTAGTGGTTGCTCGTTTGCCTGCATGACCTTGCTTCGTTCTTCCTTGCTTCCTTGCCTGCCTGCCTTCCTTGCTTGCTTGCCTTCCTTGCTTGCCTTCCTTGCTTGCTTGCTTGCCCTGCCTGCCTGCCTTGCTTGCCTTCCCTGCTTGCCTGCCTGCTTGCTTGCTCGCTCGCATTCCCCTAATTCCCAAAGCAGTCCGATGGCCGCCAGGACACCTCGCACGGTGTATCGGCACCCAGCACCACTGCGCGAGCGCAGCAGTACTCCAATGAGGAGGCGATCCATGGGGTCAAAAAGTCGGGGATCAAGTCAGGGAGCGGGGGCCGGGGTTTTCAAGGTTGACAGACCCCTGTGGGATTTCACGTTTTTTGTTTTTCCGCGAGAAATCCTGTGGGATTTCCACGTTCCCTGAGGCTCCCGATGATTGTTGGGCCCTGAAGATGGGTTGTTGTCAAGGGCTCCTGAGGGGTCCGGGCCTGCATTTAGGGTTGATGTTTGTTTTTTCTTGTGCCGGCCGTCTTGAAGCTCATTCTGGGAGAATTGAGAGTTGGAGCCTTCCTTTTGGATGCCAAAAGGAACACCGAAGCCATTTTGGGAGGTCCAAGAAAGGAAGACACGCCCATATGACTTCTCTTCCTGGTGCTCAGTAGTCCTGAAAGGAAACCATAGGGGGATTGTTTTTCTTGGTGTCATTCCACTTATTCTTCGCTGAGAACCAGCAAGAAAGGCCGAGATAGGTGTTGTTTTTCCGAAACCCCACTTTGGAGCAAACTTTTCCCAGAGGGTCCAAGCACCTTCTAAGGAGGTACTTCCCCTTTTTACCCACCCAAAGCCATCCTCATGAGGTACCAAAAAACCCTCTGGGATTCATGCTTTTAAGGCCAAGTCTTCGGGGCAAAACACAATCGCCCGACTTCCCGGACTTGTCCGGTCCGAAAGCTCGAGCCCGGCGGTCCAGGCGTTGATGCAGGCCTTTAATGGCGAAGCGCTCGAGAAGGTGCCGCTGAGGAGTCGGCGTTTCGGTGTGCTGCGTTTCGGTTTGCTGCTTTATTTTTGTTTTTTTTCTCCGCGGAAAGCGATGAGCGACTGATTCCCAGGGTTTGGTTTGGTGTTTTTACTTTTGGTTGGAGGTGTCCACATTGAAACCATCTTGTTATCATGTTGATCTCAGATTAATCATTCATGAATAGGGGACACTCCATGGGCGAAATGTGGGGAATCAGACCACTTTTGGAGGGGCCCCCACCCCCCTATTAATATGGGGGTTGATCCTCCCTGTGTCACAAACCCAATGTGGATGGTTTTTGGAGTTGGTAGCCACGTTTGGTTCAAACAACGGAAGCAAAGGGAATCCGGAGTCCCCGGAGCCCCTCAACTCGGGACGCAACTTTGCACAGGAAACCGTCATGAGGTGCACAGCCCCAGTTCCCACCTCTCTCGAATGCTGGTGGCGGTGTATCTTTCGCCCATGCAAGAAAATGTCACAATGGGTGTGTCATATTTTTTTGGAGGGTGCCCCTTTTGTGGTGTTAAAAGGAATCCCAAAAGGACAAGACCAATTTCGCGGGGGGGGACCCTACTGTGGATGGACGAAATCCTGCACCAGATTGAAATTATGGGAAACTATTGTTGGTTGGTATATCATGCAGGGTTTCTTCGGTGGTGAAATGGATTTCGTCCATCCACAGTATCTTAAGACAAAACTACATTGAACATAGCGGCCATGTCGGTGGCCAGAAAATCGAACCGCGGGCGCTTGCGGCCGTTCGACTGGAGGGGGGTTCTGTGTCGTCGCCTTAAGGCCAACGAGGGCTGACCTGTTGTTATAGGTGTCCTTTTGATCCGTAACTTTTATCTAAAAGGACACCTGTGGATGAAGGAATTTGAAACCATGTTTAAAATCATTGTTGGTTGTTTATTCCGATGGGGATTCGTCAGAAACCAGGGATGCTTGTGTGGTGCGTGATTTCGCAACCATCCACGGGGCGTCCACCCCGATTCCATTTGGTAACCCTAAATTGCTGGTTGGATTTTGGATTGGTAGTGTGAGGATTTGAACCCTTGTGCAGGAAACCCCATCCAACAAGAGCTTCCCCCCTCACGTGGTTTAGATGGGTTTTATGCTCCAAGAGACCAGCGAAATCAATCTGGCTGTGGGTCAAAACCATTGGTGCCATTTTGGAGTAGGTGCACCACCCATTTTTGTCGATTTTAGTAGGAATTGGGATGTTCACTGGGGGTACTGGATTTTGACCCATGGTCATCTATTTTGCCAAAAGGACACGTTTGCCGCCAGGAGCGTGGAGACCCCTGAGATCTTCAGCCTTTCGCCCATCGGCATAGGCGCCTCCCGCCGCGGTTCACCTCACCCGAGCGGTGCCGACTTTTGCGGCGCCGACATGGGAAGGTTTACATAGGCGCCTTGGGAAGTTTTTCCCAAGCAAGCACCCATCGACTTTTGGTACTACCAACATGGATATTAAGGTTTACATTGGCTTTGCTATCCCAAGCCCATCAGCTAGGAACCAAACCACCTGCTCAAATAGCTTGCTTTGGATTGGTGAAACGGGCGCTTGTTTGGCTTAAGGTTTTCTGTTTGTCAGCTTCCAGTGGGAGTGCCCCCATTCGAGACTCTTTACTACCACTTCCCCACCAACAGGACAACTCAATCTTTGTGAACGGGGAACCCCGCCGGACATATCAGCAACCAGCCGTCAAATTACGTCCTTGTGCTTCCAGTTGTCAAGTGATTCAACGCATCAACAAATCTGTATCGGTTGTCCTGAAGTTGGACATGTACCACCTCTTGGATGTTTGAGAGAAATCCAAAGTAAAGTTTGATGAATACCCAACAGCAACAAGCTGTTGAGTTTCTATCTCTTGAGCTCGGTCGTTTTGTTCAGACCTAAGCACCCGAATTAAACCCACCTTCAGCCCGCCCTAGCCCCCTTTCAAGCAATCCTGACCAAGCCTCAAGCCCAAGCTTTTGGCTTGCCAGGTGGTCGCTCCAAGCCCAACGAGTACCTGCCAAGGAGCGACATCCAATCGCAGGGCCTTTGGCATAAGATCCCTCGGTGCGAGCCACCAAGCTAGCTGGCGGTTGGTGTCCAAATTTTGCATGAAAAGAGGGAGCCTGGAGGGAGCTACCATGAGTTCTGCTTAGGGACTTGGCAGCAAGGAATTGTGTTTTTGTCTTTTTCAAGACCATGTCCAAGTTCAATTGATTGCCCGGAACCAATCCTACTGGCCATGATGCAGGTCCAGTACGTGGGTTTATCAGGGTTAAAGTACGGCCCATGCATAAATATGTATAGCCAGCTCACTACAACCGAACGTCAGCGGATTTGGTCTGATGTGGCTGGATGTTTTCCAGCACTTGCGTGAAGACGGGGGGGGTGCCATAAGGCCCTTCGCGTTGACAATGCGCTGACACTCGAAGTATGCACGCTGTTTGGCTATACCCCCCGAACTTTGGAAGTTTTGCTTTGTTCCCAAGTTGGCTTTGGCATGTTGGCATTGCCTTATGTTGGGCGATGCGATGTCGAAGGAACTTCTTGTCGCGTTGTTTCCCCCACACAGCGCGCGTTCAGAACTCTCGCGACCTGCCTCGTTGGTGCGGACATGTGGATCATGTGCTCGACCTCATGCAGAAGCCAGGGCGCCGCCCTCGAAAGGGGCAAGGTACTTCGGTGGTGGGTAACAACCATGGCTATGACCCACTTAGGAGACTCACAACCATGGCTTTTGTGGGTTATAATAGCCGTTGTTGTGACCCACTTACTAAGTACCCTGCATTCCACATGGTAGACCGATCTATGAAACACGGTTTGGTCATTGAACTCACGCATCAAGCATAACTTGAGACACCATATTCAATCACTTGTTTTTGTTCCCTCATTATTTCTATCTCATCTCACAAATGCAATTTTTTGGAATATCTCCAATCTTACATCAAACCACCCCCACAATGGGCCGCGTAAAGAAACAGCAAGAACACCTTTTTCCATTTTGGGTGGGTCCCCTGTAAAGTACCAGCAAGAAGCCCGTCCTGATAACCCCCCGCCCCCCAAAAACAAAGTACCTGGAGTCTCCATGACCCTTTAATAATGGGTCAATGACCCCATTACTTGGGGCAATGCCCCCCATTTTTGAAGGGTCAGAAGGAGACTCCAGGTATTTACATCAACCCCCCCAAAAAGTCCTAGTTTGATAACCCCCCAAAAAAAAGAAGAGAAAAGGCAAAAATAACAAGCACAAGTATCTCCCTGCGTCACCTCTAAGTGCCTTGGGCTCGGCTTCTCCGTGGCGAGGAGCCGCGCAGCGGAAACGCAGGATGAGAAGTGGACGTCCCCAGAGAAGGCGCGGGGGAGAAGCCGCCGGTTTTTTGCTTTGCTTTGCTAGTTGCTTGGAATCTTTTTGAGAAACTCTTTGGGTTTTCCACTGGATCCGCAGAAGTTTTGTTTTTGCATAGAATTCAACAGCAACCAAGTTTGTAAAGTATTTTTGTTGGGTAACACTCCCTCAGATTAGCGTGGAAGCTCCCAGGCCAGAATGAATGGAATCCAGACTGGGGACCCTAAGGCCGTCCCTTCGGCCAAGTTAGTAAATGGTTGGACACCTGGGGTACACTGCACCAACAACAGAACGGGGGACATGGTGGCCCTTCTTTCAATTTTTGAAGAGAGGGTGTCCATCTAAAATCAGCCAAAGCAAAGGGTGGCCCCTTTCTTCCCATGGAGCCCAGTAAGGTCGGGGTGTCAAGGAAAACCCCGCGTATCCAAACAATGTCTTGGCCTTGGGGGGTGACTTTCATGGCAAGATCATGGGGCCATTGGATAGTTGGATAAGGGAACCGCAGAGGGTCCAAAGCCCACGCCCAACAAAGCTGCAGCCCCAAAGAAAGGAGCTGGTGCATTTTTTGAAGGGATGTTAGGGCTTTACCTTTTCGCCAACTAATGGATTTTTCGTATTAAACCACTAAAGGTTAAACTTTTAGCAGGGGAGCAGAAAGCAAATCAGGAAGGGTTTGGGTTCCACAGGGAGGGAGTGGAATGGAAATGTGTCCCCCTGATTGGCCCTAAGAGAGGCGGACCCGTAGCGGGTTGTGCCTAAGAGTGGGTTCAGAAGATTCCAAAGGATCATCGCGGCTCGGAGCCCAGTGGTTCAGTGGGTTTCTTGACTCCTGCGTGGGAAGAAATGACAACTTGGTGGTAAACATAAAATCCGGCTTTGGCGGTTATTATTGAGTACACTTTGGTGGTAAACAAAAGCATCACACATCTTTATGACTCTGACCATCTTAGTAGAACCACAAGTCAATGAGTGAAACGGGCGCTGCTCAGGTGTCACCAATCCTTCAGGGTTTTTTGTTACGGAAGCTGTAAATTCCCAGCCTTACCCCTATTAGTTCCCTAAGGCCCCTGGGTTGTGGACGCCATGAGAGTTTTGGTTCGTTGGCGATTTTGGTGGGTTCCCTCTTGTGAACCGCCCCGCAAAAGCGGTCACCGAACGACTGGGGGTGCCAAACTCGCATCTCCTTCAACATGTATGACAAATCAGAATCATTCGTGCGTTTTTGCTACTGCATATTGGGCGTGTCTTAAGAAAATGGGCGGCCCGCCCCCCCAAAAATAAAAGATAAATAGAATAACACACAAGAACAACAAATGGCATGCTTTCTTTATTTCACCGCTGCAAAGCCACTCCAAAAGGCCTGCCAAGCCTCCTAAGCTGGGGCGCACTCCTAAGCTGGGCCCGACTCATGGGCCGAGATGGCCAGACGGCTTCTTTGGCGGATGGATGCTGGTGATGGATGCTGGATGCATCCAGCCTATAGTATGCTTTGTTCGGCTCCGTACCTTTTTGGCTTGTTAGTGGTTGGGTTTCGGGGTTTAATCCACAAGTTATTTTCATTTTTAGCTGACCTGACAACGGAGAGGCTCCCTTTTGGCTGATCTGGTTTGAATGATTGGTTCTTTTTGTTTCTGTTTCCCTTTGGTTCCCTTTCCAAGACATCCAAGAGAAGTACACCTTTGTGAACTCTTGCCTCCATAGGCCTTTGTGGTTGGGTTGACTCGGGGTTGATTCAATGGAACCCATCCCTGTCAGAGTGAAAACGGCCTGAGTGTAGCAGGGTTCCCGATACATCGCCCTTTTGGTGGTTTGAGTCATGTTTCAAGGGGCAGCATGGGAAACTTTGTTTGATTTGTACTTTCTCTACCCGAATTCATGCCGTGAGTTTTATGTCAGGGTTGATTCGTACCCTTCCACTGCCGCGGAACCTGGCGGGGGTCCTGGACAGCTTTCCTCCAAAAGGATACACTGTGAGCTTCCGCGTTAAATTAGTGGGCGGGAGCGGAATTATGATGTTTATGGGCCGTATTTTGCTGTCAGTTGAACTAAAATGGTTGATCCAAATTTGTTGATGACTTCCCTCCCTTCCCTTCCCCCCCCCCCCTTCCCCCCCTCCTCCCCCAAAAAGAATTCCCCCCCCCCCCCCCCGGCCCCATTTTTTGTGTGAACCCCTGACACATGCCCATTTCCATGAGTCCTCCACAGGTGGACATCGACTTCGCGATTTTCATCACGCCCACCCATAACAAGGCACGGGGCGCTCCACGGAGATTTTTGGCTGCAGCCGGTGCCAGGAGCTTTGGCTTTGGCCTCGTTCGGTTTTCTTGGGAAGGCACAGGTGCCTGGAGTCAGCCTCAAATTGGTGGCTTGGATTGGTTTACATTCAGATTTCTTCAATTTGGTTAAGAATATGTGTTATTTTCCCCTGTTGGTTTTAAAGGGAATCTATCACTGAAAATATTTTTCCCAGGGGACGACAATGCAAATGGAGGATTTGAAACTCTGGTTCCGTTGGAAAGCTTCTCCAACCCTCCAAGCCGTTAAACCACAGTTCCAATTGGAGGGAAGCTGACGGAGTCTCACACGAGACCCTGTAGGAAAGCAAACCTGCCCCAATACCAGATCCCGAGTCCACTAAAAGGTGCAAATGGCCCCAAACCTGTGGTTGCATGAACGGCTGTTTGGGGATGATGACGTGGGTCTTGCGATTGCTGTGTTTGGTGTTGACATGGGTCTGTCTCAAAAAGACGGGGTGTACCCAACAAAAAGGGCAAGGGTGTCCCTTTCGGCTTCCCTTTTACGAACCCACCAACAGATTTGGGCGTGGCTCAAAGTTGAAGAGCTGGCTGGGGTTACGCAGGTTCTTGTTTTTGGTTCCATTTGTCAAGATGCCATTTTGGTACATGAATTTGAGCCACGGCTGTTTGGGTTCGACTAAAAATGATCTCCGCAGGTCAGAAGGGAGCTGCTTTGTCCCAGCAAAGCGATGGACAAGGAGATGGGATTGCATCCTTTGCCATCCGGATGTGTGGAAGTGGGTCCCGAGCTTTCTACGTCCATCTCTCCCAGAAGCAGGGGATGTCTGGCTGTGGGTCAAAACTATGTACCCAGTATGGAACCCTGGTAAATGGAGAAGTAGACTAAAACCTGCGGTCCCTGGTGGTTTAATTCTGACCCATGCCCATCTCGTGTTTGGCCATCTCTCCCGGAAGCAGGGGGTACCTTGTGTTTGGCCTTTTGCGAGGCTCGGGTTTGGAGTCTGAAATCGCGTTTTTTTTTCTTCCCCCTTGCCAGTCTCTGTGTCATGCTCTTGGATCCCCTTCAGCTTGGGCGCCCGGACAAGCAAAATGAAATGCAGCCCTTCTTTGGTTGCCTCTCACCCCAAAAAAAAACATGGTACAAAGGCAAACACCAATGGGTTACTTGGGGTGGGTGTTTTGCAGACCCGAAGAGTTTCAACGGCAAGCGGCCAATGGGAGGCACCGAAAAGGGCCACACGCCCCTTAAAAGGCCTTTGGGAGGAAAGTCCAGAACCCGGCTGTGGTTGGTTGATTGATATGTGTGTGTAAGTCTCTTTTTTTTTTAGGGCACCCTTTGTTGAGTGGTGTTAAAGGGGAACGACAGAAAACAACTCATTTTGAGGGTCCGCATTTTGAGAAAACCGGATTCTGCACCTTCTGAGAGCCCACAAAGCTGCTGGTTGGGAGGTGTGTCTAGCTGGTGGTTGGAAGGGAGCCGCTGGCAGGGGCTAAGATGGCACCTGACACAAGGGTCCCTCAGAAAGGAAATTGGGCTTCCAGGTGCCCTCCCACCACAGCTGCTATGTTTTGTGGGAGGAAGGGTGGTAATTGTTGAGCAACTGCAACCATCCTATTGGTTTCAGGCTGGTTTCACTGGCTACCTACTCTACCTGTCTGTGTTTAAAAGGTTTCTTCATCTGCAGATATCTCCTCCTGTGTTTCTGACAATATGTCCTCCTGTGTTTAAATAGAAAACATTGATAGCGATAAATAGGGGCTGAGTGGTAAATGGCAACTATGCAAAAAGGAAAAAGGATGGTTACCTACCGAAAGCTGGGATCAACTGCATGTGTGGAGCTGGGTGCCGTTTTGGAGGCTAACGTTTGTTGAGAGGTGGTTTAGAGAGAAGCCAAAAGGAACACGAGTTTGTTGGGTGCCCACATTTTGACGCACATTCAAATGTGAGTGTTCAATTTTGCATGTTCTACTTCCACGGGAAAACCTGTTGAATTCCCTTCAAACTCAGCCGTTCAAAGATGGAGCTTCGCGGGTTAGCTCCGAACTGCGGCCATAGCTGGATCTGCGGGTTGGGGCGTGCACCGAACGACAACTCATTTTGTGGAGCATCCGATCGAAGCCGTGTGTTAGGTTCGAGCGTAAAACCCACCCCCCTCAAGTCATGGTTGGGACGCCGTTTTTTTTCGCCAACATGTTGGGTTTACATGGCTCGGAAACATCCGGTCGATCCCAAACCACCCTGTTGGGACATTCAGTCGATCACTTGACTGCTATTGGGTTGGATCTTTCGGTTTTCCACCCAACCCACAACATATTTCCGCTTTTTGCGGAGGGGTCCTTCCAGCAACGAGTCGATCACGACCTTTTGGGTCGTTGGAGCTCACCCCGTCCAGGACCCGGTCCTGGCGATGTGGGCGCGCGACGGGTCCTCCGGCTACGGCGGGAACTTCTTGGCCAACTCGCCGGACCGTGGGCTGTGGGGCGCTCGCGGTCTGATGAGAAGCGAGCAGCCCAAAAAACACCGATTTCAACAGGGCCTTTTTGGTTTTGGTAGAAGTCAAAAGGGCTTTAATAGGTGACTCTACTACCTGGTTCTTGGGGGGTCGTGGTAAGGCCATATCATCCTGGGCCTTTTGGGTAGAAGTGGGTCGCGGTAAGGCCATATCATCCTGGGCCTTTTTGGTAGAAGTGAAAAGGGCAGTTTTTTAGTAGGTGACTCTACTACCTGGTTCTTGGGGGTCGTGGTAAGGCCATATCATCCTGGGCCTTTTTGGTAGAAGTGAAAAGGGCAGTTTGTTAGTAGGTGACTCTACTACCTGGTTCTTGGGGGTCGTGGTAAGGCCATATCATCCTGGGCCTTCTTGGTAGAAGTGAAAAGGGCAGTTTTTTAGTAGGTGACTCTACTACCTGGTTCTTGGGGGGTCGTGGTAAGGCCATATCATCCTGGGCCTTGTTGGTAGAAGTGAAAAGGGCAGTTTTTTAGTAGGTGACTCTACTACCTGGTTCTTGGGGGGTCGTGGTAAGGCCATATCATCCTGGGCCTTTTGGGTAGAAGTAGGGCAGTTTTAATAGGTGACTCTACTACCTGGTTCTTGGGGGGTCGTGGTAAGGCCATATCATCCTGGGCCTTTTGGTAGAAGTGAAAAGGGCAGTTTTTTAGTAGGTGACTCTACTACCTGGTTCTTGGGGGGTCGTGGTAAGGCCATATCATCCTGGGCCTTTTTGGTAGAAGTGAAAAGGGCAGTTTTTTAGTAGGTGACTCTACTACCTGGTTCTTAGGGGGTCGTGGTAAGGCCATATCATCCTGGGCCTTGTTGGTAGAAGTGAAAAGGGCAGGTTTTTAGTAGGTGACTCTACTACCTGGTTCTTGGGGGGTCGTGGTAAGGCCATATCATCCTGGGCCTTTTGGGTAGAAATGAAAAGGGCAGTTTTTTAGTAGGTGACTCTACTACCTGGTTCTTGGGGGGTCGTGGTAAGGCCATATCATCCTGGGCCTTTTTGGTAGAAGTGAAAAGGGCAGTTTTTTAGTAGGTGACTCTACTACCTGGTTCTTGGGGGTCGTGGTAAGGCCATATCATCCTGGGCCTTTTTGGTAGAAGTGAAAAGGGCAGTTTTTTAGTAGGTGACTCTACTACCTGGTTCTTAGGGGGTCGTGGTAAGGCCATATCATCCTGGGCCTTGTTGGTAGAAGTGAAAAGGGCAGGTTTTTAGTAGGTGACTCTACTACCTGGTTCTTGGGGGGTCGTGGTAAGGCCATATCATCCTGGGCCTTTTGGGTAGAAATGAAAAGGGCAGTTTTTTAGTAGGTGACTCTACTACCTGGTTCTTGGGGGGTCGTGGTAAGGCCATATCATCCTGGGCCTTTTGGTAGAAGTGAAAGGGCGTTTTTAGTAGGTGACTCTACTACCTGGTTCTTGGGGGGTCGTGGTAAGGCCATATCATCCTGGGCCTTTTGGGTAGAAGTGAAAAGGGCAGTTTTTTAGTAGGTGACTCTACTACCTGGTTCTTGAGGGTGCCGTGGTAAGGCCATATCATCCTGGGCCTTTTTGGTAGAAGTGAAAAGGGCAGTTTTTTAGTAGGTGACTCTACTACCTGGTTCTTGGGGGGTCGTGGTAAGGCCATATAATCCTGGGCCTTTTTGGTAGAAGTGAAAAGGGCAGTTTTTTTAGTAGGTGACTCTACTACCTGGTTCTTGGGGGGTCGTGGTAAGGCCATATCATCCTGGGCCTTTTTGGTAGAAGTCAAAAGGGCAGTTTTTTAGTAGGTGACTCTACTACCTGGTTCTTGGGGGGGTCGTGGTAAGGCCATATCATCCTGGGCCTTTTGGGTAGAAAGTGAAAGGGCAGTTTTTTAGTAGGTGACTCTACTACCTGGTAAGGCCATATAATCCTGGGCCTTTTTGGTAGAAGTCAAAAGGGCAGTTTTTTAGTAGGTGACTCTACTACCTGGTTCTTGGGGGGTCGTGGTAAGGCCATATCATCCTGGGCCTTTTTGGTAGAAGTGAAAAGGGCAGTTTTTTAGTAGGTGACTCTACTACCTGGTTCTTGGGGGGTCGTGGTAAGGCCCTATAATCCTGGGCCTTTTTGGTAGAAGTGAAAAGGGCAGTTTTTTAGTAGGTGACTCTACTACCTGGTTCTTGGGGGTCGTGGTAAGGCCATATCATCCTGGGCCTTTTTGGTAGAAGTGAAAGTGGCAGTTTTTTAGTAGGTGACTCTACTACCTGGTTCTTGGGGGTTCGTGGTAAGGCCATATCATCCTGGGCCTTTTGGGTAGAAATGAAAAGGGCAGTTTTTTAGTAGGTGACTCTACTACCTGGTTCTTGGGGGGTCGTGGTAAGGCCATATAATCCTGGGCCTTTTTGGTAGAAGTCAAAAGGGCAGTTTTTTAGTAGGTGACTCTACTACCTGGTTCTTGGGGGGTCGTGGTAAGGCCATATAATCCTGGGCCTTTTTGGTAGAAGTGAAAAGGGCAGTTTTTTAGTAGGTGACTCTACTACCTGGTTCTTGAGGGGTCGTGGTAAGGCCATATCATCCTGGGCCTTTTGGGTAGAAGTGAAAGTGGCAGTTTTTTAGTAGGTGACTCTACTACCTGGTTCTTGTGGGGTCGTGGTAAGGCCATATCATCCTGGGCCTTTTGGGTAGAAGTGAAAAGGGCAGTTTTTTTAGTAGGTGACTCTACTACATGGTGCTTGGGGTGTCGTGGTAAGGCCATATCATCCTGGGCCTTTTGGGTAGAAGTGAAAGTGGCAGTTTTTTAGTAGGTGACTCTACTACCTGGTTCTTGTGGGGTCGTGGTAAGGCCATATCATCCTGGGCCTTTTGGGTAGAAGTGAAAAGGGCAGTTTTTTTAGTAGGTGACTCTACTACATGGTGCTTGGGGTGTCGTGGTAAGGCCATATCATCCTGGGCC